TCTGGGCACAAAAATCCAGGTATTCGTGGCTGCAGGAAGGAGACCAAAATACTAGGTTCTTCCATGCCAGTATTATTAAAAGAAGGAATTCAAACAAGATTAATAAACTGAAGGATGACAGAGGCGTGTGGATTTATGGCACATAGGAAGTGGATGACCATATTAACAGTTTCTACTGTGGCCTGTTCACTAGCAGGGGAGGCGAGTTTGATCACACTATCCTGAACGGCTTCCCATCCATGATCTCTAATGAGCTCAACCATACTCTTACAGCCTAGCTTAGTAATGAGGAAATAAGGAAGTCGGTTTTTCAACTGGGAGCCAACAAAGCGCCAGGTCCTGATGGCTTCCCAGGTTTCTTCTTCTGCATGTTTTGGACCCTTCTCGGCGATGTGTTCTGTGATGAGATATGAGGCTTCTTCAGCTCAAACACCATGACAGAGGAGTGGAACGACACCTTCATCACTCTCATTCCCAAAGTAACGGCTCCTGAGATGATTGGCCAATACCGTCCCATCAGCTGCTGCAATTTCAAGTATAAGGTCATCACAAAGATTATGACTAACAGGCTTCAACCATGGCTTCCAAATATCGTGAATGAACTACAATCAGCCTTCATAGGAGGAAGACAGATCCAAGATAACATCATAATTGTCCAGGAGGTTCTCAATCACTTCAAGAAACACAAAAAAGGGAATCGGAAGGACATGATGTTGAAATTGGACATGAAGAAGGAGTATGATTTAGTGGAATGGGAGTTCCTCATCGAGTTACTTCGAGCCTATGGGTTCAATGACGTCTGGTTTGGATGGGTCAAGACGTGCATTAGCTCGGTGCGCTTCCGTCTTCTGATTAATGGGGAACCATCGACGTTGTTCCTCCCCTCAAGAGGATTGCGCCACGGGGACCCTATGTCGCCGCTGCTTTTCATACTGATGTCCAATGCGCTTTAGAGGACTGAAACTCAATCGAATGTGCCCCAATCTCACCCACTGCCTCTTCGCGGACGACACGGTCATTTTTGGGGAAGCATTAACAGCGGAAGCTGAGAGCATTTTGAAAACAATGCATGACTACAGGGCAATCACTGGACAAGAAGTGAATAGAGAGAAGTCATCAGCCTTCTTCAGCAGCAATGTGAGCTCCAAAGAAAAAGATGAAATTACCAGAACCATTGGGTTTGCGGATTCTATATGCCATTCTAAGTATCTTGGAGTTCCAACAGAATGGGGAAGATCGAAGGCCGAAACCTTCAGTTTCTCACTCAACGCATGGAAAGTAAGGGTGAGGCCTGGAAGAGCCTCTTGTTATCGCCCGGAGGAAAGGAGACATTACTGAAAGCAATTTTCCAAGCTATTCCCTCCTTCATTATGTGCCTCTTTTTGCTCCCCAGTTCTACAATGAGGAAGATGGACTCTATGCTCAGCAGGTTCTTCTAGGGCGGTTCGATCCAAAAGAAGACTATCCATTGGAGAGATGGCAGAGTGTTGTACGCCCCAAAGGTGGAGGGAGGCCTCGGCTTCAGACCGTTTCACTAGTTTAACCTCGCCCTCCTTGCTAAACAATGTTGGAGGATCCTGACCAATCCGGATGCATTATGGGTAAAATTACTCAAAGGTCTTTACTTCCCTCGCTCGGATTTTGTTTCAGCAAGAAAAGGAGGAAAAGCGTCTTGGATTTGGTCCAGTCTTTAGGAAGCAAAGAGCTGGATGGAACAAGGATTGATCAGAGTGATTGGTAATGGTAGATCCACGAGAACGTTTCAAGATCCATGGTTGTTTGCTAGGTCAGGAAACCTCTTTCAGCAGAGGAGCTCCTTCCCGGCAACAGTGGATAGTTGGATTGATGACATCAATAGAACTTGGAAATTTGACCTACTGGAGGATTTCCTCCCTCCCCAGGTGCTACAACAGGTAACAAGCACACCAATTGGTCCGGAATCTCTGGAAGATTTTTGGGCATGGCGCTTCACAGAACAAGGAGAGTTCACTGTTAAGTCTGCTTTCCACTGTTTCCATAATCATTCCCGGCGGGCTCAAGGGAATTCTCTGACAATCTCGGATTACAATAAAGACTGCTGGAAATGGCTGTGGAGTCTCTCCCTTCCGCCTAAGATGAAATTCTTCATTTGGAGATGTAGCAGAGGGGCCCTTGCCACCAAGGAAAACCTCCACTCTCGACATTGCTCTCTGTCGAAACTTTGCCCGCTGTGTTCTTGCCCAGTCGAGACAATTCATCACTGCCTCTTTAGCTGCCCTCACGCAGCGGAAGGATGGAGAGTTGAGTGGCCGACCCTCACTATCCACAACCAGTCCACAAACATTCTTGAATGGCTTGTTTCCCTCGGCCAAAGGTACCCGATCTCATCAATTCACAAAATCATTTACCTTATGTGGCAAACGTTGAAATCGAGGAACGAGTATATCTTCAGAAACGTAAGACTGTGGCCGCCAGATACAGTGGCTTGTGCCCAAAGAAGCTTCCATTAATGGAACTCATGTCCAAAGAAGAGGACATCCTCTCATCACTCTACTCAGCCTACTCCAATACCGGAGCTCTCTTCACCACCGCCAGGTACTCATGAATTTGAGATACACTGTGATGGATCGTTCCTACACGATTCCCAGGAGGCGGCTTATGGCGTTGTCGTGACTAACAGCCATGGTCAAGTGTGCGATGGGAAGGCTGAGACCCTATACTGCTTTTCTCCAATTGAGGTGGAAGCCAATGCCCTCTTGGAGGGTACTCGTTTGGCGGACGATCTTGGTGTTTCCTGTCTCGTCCGTTTGGACTGCTTAAAGCTTATTAAAGCTATCCATGGTCCTTCTAAGGTTTGGCCGTGGCGAGCAGCTGCTTGGATTGGAAACATCAAACAGATTTGTGTTGCTTGTCCATGGATCTGTATCGAGTTTTTCAGTCGGAAGCTCAACTCAAAGGCTAACTGGGTGGCAAGATCCTGTGCTAGGAATCAGCTGCCTCAGAAATGTAATATTTTAGATGTTGTTGCTTCCCTGCTGTAACCCTTTGACTTATGCCACAAGTAATGAAAAGCATGTGTCCTACTGTTTAAAAAAAAAAACTAGTAACTTATTATGTAAATATTGATATATGGATGACCATTGCCATTACCACATTAGATGCTCAATTGGGAATTACATGTAACCCCATTTCTACATTTGATAGCTCCTTTATGTTTCATTATCTCTCATTGATATAAGGATGTAGTGGTTACAAAGGTGTGCCTATAAATAAAGCACACCATTGTATCAAAAGAGAAGAATGAATAAGAAAGCTCACTTTCCCCTCTCTTCTTTGTGTCTTTCCCTCTCTAATCTTCTCTTGTTGTTTATATTTTCCATTAGTTACATAACACGTTATCAGCACGGAGCTCTGCTAGCATCATGGTTGGTCATTGTTTCTACACAATCTAGTATATTGGAGTAAGATCACAATATGATCAAGGTATGCAAATCTTCGTCTTCTTTCATATCTTATTGTCTTATTTGTGGTGAGATTATCTCATTCCAATATATAAAGATGGATGCTACTCTTTTCTCGTAGTAAACCATCCGTTGATATTTTATCATCTAAATCTATTTGGATTAAAATTTTGGGTTGTGTAATTTGATTTATATTATTATGTGTTTTACAATACATACATCGATTCCTTAAAATTAAATTGGTGTTTTGACATTATCGCAAATTAAAATTTGCTCATGTAGTAACAATAACAAGAAAAGTAATATAAGTGATGAGTTAATTTTTCAATTCTCCGTGTTATCCTGTTCTTATCAATCCCACATTGATATTTAGAAAATACAAGTTCCAAGAACCCATATATTCCCCAGAAGTGAAAAATGAAGAATTCAAGGGCAAAGAAAGAGAAGGACATGGTAATAAGAATATTGGTTCTTTATGTTACCATTGTAATGGAAAAATGTGTTTATCTCGTACCCGTTGTACGCAAAAGACTTTATTCTACCAAGAATCAAAGGGAAGAGCAAATTCAAATATGCTGATGAAATATCAATATTATGGAACATATTTTTTGTATTATAAGTTGGTATATTCTCCATTAAAGATGAAAATGATATTGCACTTGAGACATTTTTATTCCTAGAAGTGAATGAAATAATCTATTCCCCAAAGTGAATGAAACTATAAACATAATTATATATATGATAATGTATTGTATGGATCTTTTCACCAGAAGTGAGAAAAGAGGAGAAAAATGAGAATTATAAATAAGTATGACACCATAATTGCATTATCAAAGTCATGATAACATATACATTATAATGTATAATGAAACGCATATATAAATTTAAAATCACCTAGTTAGTGATGGTATTGTTCCAAATAAATCTTATTTGATTTTCACAATTGTAGTATTATGATTCTTATTTATTTTATGTTTTATTGTGACGTTATTTTTCATGCATAATTTAATTTGATAATCTTTATCTAGAACAATTAACTTGATAAATTCATCATTTTTGTCTTAAAGTAGAAATATTCTCAATTATTACTTTTATTATATTTTTATAAAATATGAGTATTAGAAAAGTTCCATATAAACTATATGGTAGAGTACATAAATAAGAATTGAGTTTTGCTCCTAGTTTTATTCATTGCGTTAGTTTTGTATAGCCCCTACCATGGCCTGGCATTCCGTGATTGCCCCCTTCGGCCCTTCAAGTAACTGTACTTTTTCGGTTTTTCCTAGACCGCTGCACCCGTCCACCTGCTTTCAAATATGCCACGTGGATATCCGATTAAGCATTTCAGCCCCACCAACTAAAAGCAGAGTAGTAAGAGCTTATTCCCCTCATTTTCTCGCCTTTTTCTGGCTCACCAAACAGCCCCTCTCCTTCCTTCGGCGCTTTATTCAATTCCCATTCACCAATCTCTCTCTCTCTCCCCCTGTCTCTCCTCCCTCTCTCGAGGAATTATTGATTCAGTTTCTTTTCCAAACTCTGAGAGTGAGTCAGAAACGAGTCATGGATTCGAGACCTTCCAAATCGAAGCCCCGAGTCGACCTCCTCAACACCAGGAACATGAAGCGTTCTTCCTCTTCCAATTCGGACTCACACCAGGGCCAGCTCGACTCGCCCCACTCGCCTCTCCGATTCCACTCCCCTCTCCGATCCGACCAGGGCGACCCGGCCGAGTCCCCTCCTTACTCTTCCCCGATCAATTCGCCGGAGAAGCCCACCCCTCCCTCCGTCGACAACTCCAAGGCCGTCGTTGCGGTCGACAAATTCACGCAGTACACTCCGCAGCCCTCCCCTCTACAGCCGTCGTCCTTGAATAATGCCGCGGCGGCGGGCAAGCAGCAGCCTGGGGCGCCTCCTCCTCCTCCTCCGTTCCGCGAGATGGGAGCGTCTATGAACCGAGCAGTGAGAGAGGAGGCGGCACCGTCGGTGAGGAAGGTAGGGCCGGAAGGAGGGAGATCGGGAGCCGCGGTCGGGTCCATACTGCGGCGCTCGGGGAAGGAAGACATGGTTCGGCTCGCGGAGCTCTGTTTTCGGATTGGTGAGCTGGTACTGTGCTTGATTTCGTTCTCGGTGATGGCGGCCGATAAGACTCAGGGCTGGAGTGGGGATTCCTTTGACAGATACAAAGAGTATAGGTAACTACTGGCTGCTGAATTCGTGATCGTAAATTCGATTTGCTTCCTTTGAATTAAATTGAAATGGAAGCTCTGGTTAATTGGCTGCTTGATTCTGCAGGTACTGTTTGTCTGTAAATGTGATTGGTTTTGCTTACTCTGCTTTTCAAGCGTATGATCTCGGCTACTACATGGGTACTGGGAAGCATGTGATTCGCCACCATCTCCGTTGGCACTTCAATTTTTTCACCGATCAGGCAAGTCCATGGTTTCTCCACAACGTATTGTTAGCTCGAGCAGTGCAAATATTGAACTTGTAATCGTCACATTGTCTAATGTCTATCAAGTCTTTAGATGGGTCATAATAGTTTCAACTTTTGGGTCACATTGTCTATCAATTACCGAGAGAATGGTGCTTGTATCTATTCGGATAGAACAGTTGAGTCCGTAGTTTGAACTGTAATCAGTTCCAGTTTCTGGTTTGGGTTTTCTAATTTGCCCAATTGCATGCTTCTGAGTAGGTATGGCCACTCGTTTTCTCAACATGAGAGGTTTATTCCCTTAATGCATCAATTTTTTTTTTTTTCTAGTTTCTTTCTTTATTCATGATTCTATCCGGGTAGCGAGCTGCTCATAGTGGCAAGATGTTTGCACCAGGAGTATAGTTACCCTTCGGTTTGGGTTAATAATGAGGCTGTTCCTGTAATTATCGATTTACCTCTCTGTAAGTTGAACAGCTCTTATGTTATTTATAGCCACTTCATTTAGAAGTTATCAGCCGACAGTCGGTCCCTTTATGCAAAATATGCAGAACACAGTTGGCATTACTTAAGCACACTATCAAGCTCTTAATGCGGTTATGAAAGTCACTCATGGCTTTCTGTGGACTAAATATAAATTGCTATTCATTTTCTGCTCTTGGTTTACATCGAACAGGCACTGTCATACCTTCTCATCTCAGCATCGTCATCAGCTGCAACACGAGTGGATGACTGGCAGTCAAACTGGGGCAAAGATGAATTCACTGTGATGGCAACGGCTTCAATTGCAATGTCATTCCTGGCTTTTGTAGCATTTGCTGCTAGCTCTGTCATCTCCGGTTACAACTTCTGCAACCGTGAATCTATCTGAAAACACACATTCAGCATATCTCACACGGCAAGAAACCAACTAATGGGGCAAACAGATTCAGGAGAATGTCGAACCTCAAGAAAATCATTTGTAAGTTGTACAGAGATATAGATTGTTCATTTCACTGTCCCTTCTCTAGTATTTTTTTTCTTTCTTTTTTCCCTTCTTTACTCCCCTACCCACCTTGGGTTTTCTTGTGTTTCTCTCATATAGAAAATGTATACCTATTAGGATTTGAGAATAATTTTGGGTATATATATGCCTACTTGACCTCGATGGCTTGCTACCAATAACCCTTGAAGCAATACCAGTTTGGGTATCCGTTAGTCCTCCTTTCTCCTAGCAAGATGATCATACAATAACAATTATCTGTAAAGTTTACCCCCTTCTCTTATTGCATTAAAATTGCGAACCATTAGCGAGTTTGTTTACTTAGGCGGCGTGTACAATCATATTATACAGAACAGACTTGTCCCTCAATTGTTACACAGGAGTCACTAGCCAGTAGTAGTAAACTCAGCGCCAAGCTTGAATTGCCTGCTGCAAGCCCAACTGGCAGTATACCACTACTGGCGAGTTTTGTTGGCACAGGAGGCGGCTAGAAATCATATGATGTAGGACAGACTTGTCTTAGTAAGCTTAAATAATGAGATTTGATTAGAAGTTAGGAATTAGGGTAAGAGTTTATGCCTGGAATCAGGAGACACCCAATCTTGCTTATGGGAGATGGTGAAGGCGACTAAACCTATCCCTGCTCGATCCACATAAAATCATTTTGGGTATTTCTCATGATCCTGACAGGGAAAATTGTCACCTCTTATCCTATGACTCCGAGCTGGGATATAGGTTTTCTTTCTTTCTTTCTCCATTGGCTTTAGATTGTTCTGGTTATATCCTTCCTCCAGAACTTGTGCCGTTCTTAAATTGGAAGTGTGAAATAAGAACTGAACCGGATCAACGGTTGGACCACTAGAACTTTCAAACCAGTTATGATAGTTGTTCGGTTCATTGATTGGATGGTTATTGGACCAAACAATTTTTCACGGTTCAACATAAAACCAGATGAACCATCGTGATTTAACTAGTCCACAAATTTTTAAAAAAAAATACTTTAACGCAAACTAAAACCATCAAGTCATGATTATTTATTTTATATATGTATTCTCATTTTATATATGTATTCTCATAAAAAAATACTTTACCAATTGGTCACGGGCATATTTAAGCCATACAACAATAATTCGGTTTTGAAAAAGATACAAAATATTTTTGGTGACCATTGATGATATTCTTAAATACATGAAATTGTCGTGTATCATTGTAGCGTATAACTAAACTATGTTGATATATTTCATTAATCCTAAAGTATAGGAACATGTGAATAAGTTATTATGACACTGTTTTTTGCTTAGCAAAGCATCATTTTTACTTCATGCTATTATCTAGTAAGCACAATTTTTTTTCCTACTACATCGCAATAAGAGTGTATTAGTTCGGATAATTATAGTAGCTATTTTCTAATAAATTGCAACATAACTGTATTGGTTCACATATTTATTGTCGTTCATACAAACAAAATGTTAAATTCTTCGTGTTCTAGAATATGAAAGAAGTTTATTATTTGCTTTTTAATTAATCAAATTTAAAAGAAAATCACATGTCAAATAATGTAAAAATTAGAATTGTGTACTATACCAATTAAATTCAAACTTTCTCAATTTTTTATTTTTAAAAATTATAAAATTATCAAACATATAAACTAAAAATCTAAAATAGGTTATTTGTAATATTTAATGATTTTCTATCATGGCTAAAAAATATAATACAAAATTTTATTTGTGATAGTTTTTGTTGTGTAATGTATAGAAGTCAACTATTAAATAAAAATAAAATGTTATTTGTTGACCATTTTTCTCTAAATTGAGTATTATTTGTTGTTATTAATTGCATCAATGAAATTGTATTCTATTAGTTAAACAACTGAATTATTTATAGTTTGAGCTCCTAGGTTGCATGATTAAATGTTAATTATGATGATTGATATAGATGTTTTGTTGTGATTATTAACATCCAATCTATTTTATCTCATTGGTCGAACACTTGAAATGATGATAGTTTGAGGCTTTGAGCTCACAGGTTGCAAGTTCAAATCTTAGTCATGATGATATACATGTTTATTTAGTTTTATTTTAATGTAATTAATAACTTAAAAATGTTAAAGGATAGAAATGACATGGAAAATTGTGGAGCTTTCTTTGTCCTACGTGGCAAAAACTTAGTTAAGAAGCTCTGCATTACTACTAAACCCTACTTCCGGGACAACTCCAAATTCTTCTTCTTCTTCATTGCCACCGAAATTAGGTTAGCTTTATCTCTGTGTTTTCCTTTTTCGGTTTTCTTATGGAGATTGTTTTATTTACATGTACCAAGATTCGAACATTAATTAATATATATAAAGCTGAAGTAAGTTTATTGTTGCATAAAAACTTACTTTTTGATATCCTAAATTTAATTAAATTACAACTTAATCACTATAATGTACATTTTGCATTTTGATACCTCAAATTTAATTTTAACGTAAATTCATTGAACAATTATATTTTGGTATCTACATTTTATAAGATTTTCATACCTACAATTTTTTAAATGTACATATTGGTCCAATGTTTAGATTTCACTTGAATCCATAAATCCATGGATATCCATACCCAACTCATACACATTTAGATTATGGAAGTAAATATCCATACCCTACCCAAACCTTTCTACAAACTTCCAAACCCACATAAACGTCACCTATACCCTACTTATAATAAATGGGTCACTTGGATTTAGGTATATATCATTTACTAGCCAAAATTTTCAAATTGGATGTTCACCGCTATATATCTATTCTCAGTAAAGATCATATTATCAAGTCAATATTACTAACAAACTTGCTAAAATTTTTAAGGTTTAGATGACTAATAATACTAAAAAAAATCATAACGGGCAACATAATACATAAAAATAGGCCATCTCCGCCCCGCGACAAGACGCGGCATTGCCACCTAGTCTTTTATATGAACATTATGCAACGTAAAGCTACTCTCTCTATATATATAATTAATGAGGTTAGATTTATATAATATCTGTTCCTTTTGTATGTTTCGAGATCACTGTATGTTTTTATTTTGCGATTACCATCTTTTCTTTTTGTTGCGCTTGATTTTGATACCCTTGACATTGAATGAAACTCCATTGCCCTAACATTGTAATGTTTCCTTGTAAACTAGTTTTTTACCCGCCGATTGGGTGGCACATTCGTATTCGTGTTTTATTTTTCGTTCTAATATTTTGTATGGTTCATGTATATTAAGCTATTATACATTGAATGGTTAATCTCACTTACTTGATTTTAGGTATTGTTACACACTTTCATATCTTTTGTTTATTTATGAAAATTTGATTTTATTTCATGAGCTCTCGGTGGTCCTTTCTTTTTTGATTTATAAGTTGATATCGAACCCACAATTTAGGATATAACCATAAAAGATTATTAATTTTTCAGCAAACAATAGCGACAAAGAAGTTTAAAAGATTAAATAAGAAAATATGTTTCAATTTATAAAAAAAAAAAGCAAAGAGTTTTTCATTTTTTCTCCCTTCTCGTATGTTGGTATATGATAATACATAATATCGCGCTCTAAATCCCACAAACATCGTGCACTATCAGTTACTTGTGCGATTTTGGAAGAATGAGGAAACACATTAGCATCCACATTATCAATCTTCTACTTATTTGTTTAATTTATCTTTAAAATGTTCTAACAAAATTAACCAAAAATAGAACTATCATTTGTCCCTAATTTATTAAAACGATATTTTTCAACAAACTAAACTGCATATAAACACAATTTATATTTTGTAGAGAGCTACGTGTCCCCTCCAAAAAACAATGGTGTGTTTTTTTACCAAATAACAACATAGACGAATTGTAAAAGCTTCATACTTCAATAAAGCTCAACTCATTGTATCTTGCAAAATCCTCATTTATGAACACGCCAAAATCAAGCTTTAGTTAGGTATTCAACTAGGCAAAAATTCACGCTAAAGAAACAAACAAATGTAATTGCAAACATGTAGAAATTGAAAGAACGTCGACGTAGACAACTTAGAGACCACCACCACCATTTTTCTTTCTTCTTTGCACCTTTATAAAATCCCACATATGTTCCCTTCTACTTATAACCCCTGCTACATTTTATCATCCACGGAGATGGGTTGCAATAGGCAAATAAAATGATCAATTATTCAACCAAATGAGAGATACTCTAAGTCCAAACAATAAACCCTTCCAATTATCTATTACATGTTTACATAAAAATATACAACATAATAGAGAACCATAAAACAACTACCTGAAAAACGAAGAAGAAATACATCTGTTGATTTGAGCAGGGAAATTTAGCATCCAGCTGTTGTAATCTGGAAGAAATTAAGAAACAAATGGAAAAAAGAGTTTAACAAATGGAAAAATGAGCAATCCTCGACTTGTTCGATTCATCTTCGCTATGATCGGATGAACTTTTTTTTGTCAATTGTCAAACATACGTTACAGATGGTCAATTGTTTCCTAATCATTGTCTCCTGTAACTCCACCCTCATATTCTCTTAAAAATAGTAACACTCAATGTGCTTTACTATTTCTTTTACTGTATCTATTTGCAAAAAAGTAGAGAAGAGAAATGCTAGAAATCTCACATTTTGGGCAAATAAGAAGAGAGGTTTGTTTGTCTTTATGGGGTTTGATCCAATTTTTTTATTTTTCTTATTTTCAATATTGGACTTTATTTTTATAGAGAGAATTTGTATGAGAAAAGGGATAGGAACAAACCAAAATGTTGCATTCATTGTTATTAACTTAATTTACGTTTTATTGATAATGATGACAAATTAAAGGGTAAACAAAAAAGTACATAAGCAAGAAGTAGAACTTATCCACTAAGGATGAGAGCTAGCCATTCGCTGATATGACACTAATTTAGTTTCAAATTCCTAAAATATTAAGTAATGATGATTTATAATTTTTGAAATTTTTTATAAACTTTAAGAATTCATACAAATATTGTGACATTTCACATACATTTGAATTCTTAGATGTATGGTAGACATATATATTATAAAGAGGAGAGTGTTTAATATATAAAGTCATGTAGTTATTTTTGAAAGTCTATTGATTGTCAAACACTTGATTTGTCTCTTTCTATCGTTATATTTTAATAGACAAAGATATTATTATTTATGTGTGTACTTCTTTAAAATTTTCATCAAAATGTAACTATTATTAAGTTTTGGTTAAAATGAGTAGATAATTTACTTGACAAATCCGATATATGTCATTCTAGGTTTCCATCTTCATATTTTGTTTAGTTGACAAAAATATTATTATTTATGCTTGTTTTTATCTACATTCTCACCAAAATATAACTTATTATTAATTTTGAGTAAAAGTGAGTATAAATACTAAAAGAAGAGAGAGATAGTTTCATAAATAGATCAATAATAAATATTATTGTTAGTAAAAAAATTGTCCTTCTTGGCAATTTGTTAATTCTCCAAGTGCTTGTGGCAAGAAGTTATTTTTGAATTGTCATAATGTTTAATTCTCCAAATGTTTATGTAGCAGAATTTTTTTTTAATTGTCATAATATATAGTATAGATATAGATTATGTTAATAATGTGAGCTATATATTTTTCAGATTTGCTGAAAATTCATAAGGATGTAGTTGGAAACTTTACGTTTAATTCAATTTTACATGTATGTCAAACATGATTTAAAAATTCAATTAATTTCATTTGATAGGAAATGATCTGTAAGAGAATTGAAAAACCATGTACTCTAGGAATAAGACAGAATGCCAAAAGGTTTTGTATTTTTGGAAAAGAAATATTTTGGTTCTTTCCTCGAATATGGGCTTTGGTAAAAAGAGGTGCAAAAAATTGGTATCCGTGGATAAAAATAAAAATAAAACGGGGCTTTCCGTGGCCATTAGCCCTGGCCCTGGCCCTGGCATTCGACGGATGGAAGTCTAACAAACTCCACAACGACATCGCTGCTCTGTCATTTCGCCATTGCCGCCGTTACTTTCCCCACCGTAGCAGAGAAGTCCTCCTCGGGATGAGAAAAAACTCCCGTTAGCATTTCCGCCGAATCCTTGAAGCACCTCTCTCAATCGTCAGTCTTCTGAACCTCCTGCGTCGCCCTTGGTTGGTAAGTTGGTGCTGCTTCTGCTTCTTCTTCCTCTTCCATTTCCGCTCTCTTCTTCTTCTTTCTTCTTCCTTTCAGCTCGATGCTCGTATGAGTTACGAGTACCTATACGGCTCAGTTTTCCTGAATACAGTCAACGGAGTTTTGAGTAATGGCGACTGAGTCCTCGTCTCCTCCCAATCCCCCCGCCGCCGGTGGGACTCCTCAGAATTCAGGTGAACTATATCTCCGCCTATTTCTTGATCAGTATTCTTGACTTCTTTACTCTTCTTCCATAATTGAACTCCTGGAGCGTGAATGTTCTTCCCTGTTTGGATTATAGCCTGTGCGCGGTTTTTATCTTTAGCTTCTTGATTAGGATTGCCGAGTCCTGTCCAGCGATGACTATTTCCGAGCCTTATCGTGGGGTGGAACGATTGATCGTAGATATTGAACCTGAAATTGGAGCTGAGACTGATTGGAGCATACGTTTTCTGGTGGATACAATGATATATTTCAGCTAGGATTTCTTTTGTTCGTTGTCTGTGATTCTTGGTGAAAATTATCAGCTCATTTAATCGAGTGAAGGATCGGTGGTAGATATTGAACCTGAAACTCACATGGAATCTGCTGGTGGCTGCAAATGCAATGAGATATTCTAGCTAGGACTTCGTTTATTTGTTGTCTGTAATTGTTGGTGAGGCTTATTAGCTCACTTTACAGTGTTGATAGCATCAATCGTAGTGAATGAATCCCGTTTCTGCAGTTGTTACAAGGCTAACTATTGCTCTCGTAGGCAGAATCTGTGTTCGCAGAATCATATAATTGTTTATGTGAGTCTTTGCAGTTGTGTTATGGGCAAACTTATTTGGTCCTTGAAACGGCCGACACTAGGCTCATTGTATGCAAAGATGAAGGAGGAGATTGACTTAGCATTTGAGAGTCTGAATTGCTTGTAGTTGTAACATATGGGGTTTATGTGTAAGATGTGAGCCCAAAGGTTAATTTATTTCTTGTTCTTTTTCCCGAACTTCAGCTACAGAAACTGTGCAACCAGCAAATGAAGTTAAGCAAGATGCTGCTCCACAAAATCCCAAGTCTGTCTTTGTGAATTCAGAACCAATACGAGAAGACCAAGTACAAAATGCTGTGAAATTTCTTTCTCACCCAAAAGTTAGGGATTCTCCAGTGTTCCACAGGAGAAATTTTCTTGAGAAGAAGGGGCTAACTAAAGAAGAGATAGATGAAGCTTTTCGACGTGTGCCAGTAAGGGATTAAATATTTCGGTTATTGTGTTCCCCACCACGCATCTGTCCATGGTTCAATGTATAAGGTCTTTTTTCTCAATGAGTTCAGTGTATAAGTGGACTCTTCAATTTCTCCTGATATTGTCTTCAAATTTGCAGGATCCATCCCCAAGTGCTCAGCCAACTGTTACCAACCAGGGTAAAGTCTTTTGGTATTAAAAGGATACATTAGTCTTTTGAGGGGAAATTTTTTATTGATTTGACCAAGGTTGCGTTGTGTATTCATGGATTGTTGATGTTCGTGTTTATTCATGATGGAAACAGTGGGACAGGGAGTAACAACATCAACCATTCAGCCAACATCTGTTTCCCAAACCCCGGTGCCAATAATAACTGTTCCTAGCAGTGCGAGTCCCTCTATGTTCGCCTTGGCTCGGTCTCGATTTCACTGGTACCATGCCGTTTTTGCTGTTGGTTTGCTGGCAGCCTCTGGTGCTGGAACGGCTATTTGGGTTAAGGTACCATACCATATTCTGATCTCTTGTGCACAATTGGAAAGTTCTAGGGCCTAACATTCAGTTCATGGCTCTAGTTTTGGTGCTGGATTTTATCTTTTTCCATTGCAGAACTAACTTAATGTCACCCTTTAGACTTCATCTGTGGTTTACATGATTTTGAGAAGCTAATGAACAACTTATATATTCTTTCAGAAGTCCATGATTCCCCGACTAAAATCTTGGATACGGTGGGTAGTTATGGAAGAGAAAAATGGTGACGGAGGCATAACAAATATAAAACCAACTTTGGCTGAAGAAGCTGCAGCAGCGGCAAAAGCGGCCGCAGCTGCTGCGTCTGATGTGGCAAAAGCAAGCCAGGAAATGATGATCTCAAGATATGAAGGTAGGAAATATCCAGAGCGAGAGTTTACTTCCTAGTAAAAATGCTTCTGGACTCCTGTTGATAAGCAATTATATACGCATTGATAAACTTGTCTTCTGGCCTTTTCAGAGAAAGTAAACATGGAGAAGTTCATGGATTTGATGCAAATGCAAGTGAAGGAAATTAGGTCAATGGGCAGTGCCATAAAACACCTGGAAGGTGATAATATGTTTGCTTCTTTAAGAAAAAATAATTTTGCAAGGCTTGTGTTGTATGCTTTTTCTTAGGTGGTTCTCAGGAGTTCCTAGAGTCATGCATCACAAGGATTTTATAGATGCAAGGACATTTTTTAAGATGAAAATTTTCAATTGTTGTCAGGGTTGCTAATCTTTGAGCTTGATGTTTCACAAATTTATTTGCATCATATTGCGTGACAAGCTAGATAGTTAATTTTCTTCAGTTGCTGTGGAGAATGGGCTGATCCTCATATCTTTGTCCAAAGAGCCAACTTTCTAAATCCTTGAGGTAGGCCTTGGTGGCATAAATAATGAGTGCCATAAAACAACTGGAAGGTGGTAATATGTTTGCTTCTTTAAGAAAGTAAATTTGTGAGCTTGTGCTTTATGCCTTTTCGTAGATGGTTGTCAGGAATTTCTAGAGTCATGCATCACAAGGATTTTATAGATCCAAGGACATTTCTTAAGATGAGAATTTTAATTTGTTGCCAGGGTGGCTATGCTTTGAGTTTGATGTTTCACAAATTTATTTGCATCATATTCCGTGGCAAGCTAGATAGTTAATTTGCTTCAGTTGCTGTGGAGAATTGGCTGATCCTCATATCTTTATCCTACGAACCAACCTTCTAAATCCTTGAGGGGTAGGCCTTGGTTGCATAATAATGAGTGGATTAAACAAGGTGGCGGATGCCGGTTCAACTCTTTTCCCTCCAGCAAAATCCAAAATTTTCCCTCTGGAAACTTTTGAGAGATTTGACCGTGTATGGGGAGCTCATTCACATTCTTCTGCAATTAATGTTTCAGGTCATAGCTTTCTAGTGTGCCTTGACTATGTATTAGGCAGTACTTTGGCTCCTGAATGATTTGTCTATCTGTGCTGTCTTACCTTTGCATGCATTAGTTTATAACCAGGCGAATTGTTTATGCAAATATCTACCTCTCAATTAAAAAAATTTCCTTATATAGTTTAGCTCATTCCAACTTCAATTAATGAGAGCACTGGAGCCTTTAAAAGTTTTTTTTTTTTTTTCTATTCCTGCTCTTATATCTATTCGTTATAATTATGGTCATTAGGAAGAAGTGATAAAATTGAAAGAACTCATCTGGTCGAGCATGGAGGGCACAGTGGTTCAATTACAAAACTTAAGGTATCCAGGTTAAAAAATTTCGATCAATAATCATTCTGATCTGAAAGATTGGGTTATATACTCTGGTCCAGGCTTTAACATTTTCTTGTCAATTGTATTTTCTTACCAGCCAACATATCCAAATGGAAACAAACCAGAGATTGATTCGCACTCAGGTTCTTAAACTGGCCAAGTTGTGGTTCATTTTTGTTTCATTTCCCCCTCATCTCTTGGTAATTTGCGTGTTGTGCTTTCTGTATTTTATGAACAGCAAGATCCTCCTTACCACCAACTTCTGCAGATAAATCTGCCCCACCTCATCCCAATTCATATATGGATGTAAGTGATAATTTTGAAACTGCTAGTTGTTACTCTGGGACAAGATGAATAGAATATGAAGTACTAATATGACATCACTATCTATTTGCTGCAAATTTCTAGGTACTGTACTTTACTTGGGTAGGCATTAAGTTAAACAGAACTTTGGCTATGAAATCTTGCATTTTCATTGCTCTGACTTACTGCTTGGCACAGGGCCAAGTCCTACAATTTCTCATTTAATGATATCACCTTATCTTTTGATGAAAATTGATGAGAAACTACTGTAGATGATTGGCTTTTCTGATTTAGTCGAAACCATTGCCTTTGAAACTGACTTGACCAATGAAACATTTATAATTTTCCCAAAGCTTGACGGTGCCCAAACCTTCCAGTGATTTGTGTTTGCAGTAAGATCTGGGGCGTATCTCCTTGTTGATGCTGTAGTCAGCAGCAATATGTTAGTTTTCACCTTCCAAATGCAATACAAAAATAAAATGTGTTGTTCATGTGACAAAAGAGTCTAGCTGGGGAAATAATTTGTGTTGCTATGTTGCAGATAATGGCAATGGTTCAAAGGGGAGAGAGACCTCCAAACATCAGAGTACAATGCATATAGTTTTCCATTTTTGGTGGTTACTTGTTTGCTGTATCGCATGCTGACGATATTTGCTTGTTTGTACTTGTACAGGATATAAATGATCAACCTCCCAACCCTAACCAGCAAATTTCAAATCCTCGCTTGGCTCCCAGGTCTAAGGTGTGTGCTATTGAGAACTTGCTTTGTCTATGCAAGTCTTTTATTTGTGAATTCCATATCATAAATGTTATTGCAATAATATGTTACGCTAATTCAATACACGGGGAAATCTAGCCTCTTCTAACTTGAATGTTTACTGCTTGCTTACTCTGAGCAGCCTTGGGAGGGTGCTTATCAAGCCAAAACCAGCTCAAGAGGAGGATTTGGTTCTGCACTGAACGGGGAAGGGGGTTCAGATTTCGGTGCGCAGAACAATGAAGCGAGCAATCAGGTGGATGCGCAGAGCACCGTGCCTTGGTGGCAGAAGAAGAACTCAAGAATCACTGAGACCGACTACGTTGAAGCCAAGCCAGGGTCCACCACTGTTGTACAGACGAACGAGCAGCCACCAATTCAGCGGACGTGGGTGCCTCCCCAGCCTCCACCAGTTGCAATGCCTGAAGCAGCAGAAGCCATTCGGCGGCCAAAATCCAAGAAAGAGGCAGAGCCTGTTTCTCAAGAAACGAGCGGAGAAGGATTTTCTGCTGCTGAGGTCACTGATGAGCTGCAGAGGATAACCAAGATATCTGAGTCCGGAGGGGAAGTAGAGGAGATGCACAGTGGAGGACAGGGAACGAATGGAGCGTTAGGAGGATTGAAGTTGAGTGAGATTGAGGAAGAACCCGTACAGAGCTATTAAAGAGGAAATAAATGAAGTGATGTAGAGGAAGCTGTCTTCAAATCTGTTTGTATACCTTAAGCTGGAGTTGCTTGCAGAACAGTACGCGTCTTCTTGAGATTTGCGGGAGCGAATGAAATAGGTTATTAGGGAGCTTCTGACTGAGTATGTTGTATGGATTTAAATACTATACGCAATGGTGGGTGTCGTGGGATGTGTCATTTGGCATATGATGGTTGCTGTTTTTTTTTTTTTTAACGTGGGGCCGGTTACATTGCATTCTGTAAGGTTAAGGAGAAAAATGGGTAAATGACACATTTGGTCACTGAGATTACTAAATCGTGTCATATTTAGTCACTAGAAAAATTTAATATCAATTTTGGTCACTCGAATTACTGACACAGGTCACATTTGGTCACTCTTCTGTAGCCTCTGTCCAATTCCGGTCACTCGAATTATTGAAAAATGTCACATTTAGTCACTCGTATTACTGAAACATGTCACATTTAGTCACTCCCCCAAAAGTTTCCGTCCAACTACATTAATGGAGTTGGACGGAAACTGACGGGAGAGTGACTAAATTTGACCAGTTTCGGTAATTCGAGTGACCAAAATTGATATTAATTTTTTCTAGTGACTAAACATGACACAATTTAATAATCTCAGTGACCAAATGTGTCATTTACCCGGAGAAAAAATATACAAAGACATTCGAAATAAAGCCAAGAATTACAATCCAGCCATCAGCAAGAGCATTGTTGGTTAGCCATTTGGTCACCCAATCCGCTCTCATGTTGAGACTTGAGATACCTTGTAAGAAACATGATTACAATCGACGGGAAACCTCCCGAGGATGTCTTTCATGACTCCCAAGGAAGCTGCACAGTTCCATGGCCAGACTGGCTAGGAATACAGTTGTGCATTGAGAAAGAACAAAGCAGTCTAATTGGACAATCACAGGACCAGGAAAGAATTTGAGCTAATTTCAGAGCTTCATGCAACACACTTTCACTTTAGCTTCGACAGGGGACGCACAAAGCAAAATTTCAGCTCTCCCGTTGCAGACTTGACCATGGCTTTTGATGACACAATGTCATAAGACGTTTGTTGGAAATTGTTTATAAACAATCCATCACATCAAATCTAGAACAAGGGTTACTCGGCGGTGGTGTAGGCTAGTTTTGGGGATGGTTAAGCTGGCTAGTAGGAGCAGAGGGAAAAGGAAGAGCAGACATCCATGGTTAAGAGCAGTCTTTGAACTCTCTAGCAACATTGGAACATGTGAAGGGAGGCCAAGAAATGGCGTTGCAAAAGACTTTCTCATTCCTAGTCTTTCAGATATTTCAAAGAGTGAAGATGATATGGTGGATAGAATGGGTATGAATATTGTCTTTCGATTGGTGAATATGAATATTGTCTTTCGATTGGTGAATCCAATGGATGGTGTCGGCATTAGTAGGAGGAATGGTCAAAGAGGGGAAGAGGTTAATTCATACATTCTACGCATGTTGACAGGTGAAAAGACAGTGATGAAGCGTCTCCTCAACCTCGTAAAAGATAGGAGATGTGGGAATGAGAGAACACCGAGGATTGAATAATCCTCTTTTCGTTGCCAAAGCATTCTTCACGCACTTCCAGACGAAAGATTTCATCTTTGGTCGAAGAGAAGCTTCCAAATCCATTTCCATCTCTCTTTATCTTGTAACAAGGGGGGTTGGAAACCTCCCGCTTAATCTGGCCTTGTCATGGAGAGCATGGTAGACGGAAGCCACTGAGAAATTACCTTTGGTGGTCAACCTCCAAGCCCAGAAATTCGGGGCCTTAGGTAAGCCGATGGGGACCTATTTAATAGAATGAATATGGTGGGGAGGAGCTTTTTGATCGAGAGCTAAATCATTCCACGATCTATCATTCATATTAATGAATTCTGTCACTCGCTCTTGTGGCTCCATGGTTCCATTTCATTTTCCTCACAAAATGTGAGGAATCCATTGATCATGGAAGAACCTAGTGGATTCCCCATTGCCTATCACTCTAATGATGCCGATCTCCATCATCCAAATACTAGCCCAAATCCACGAAGGTCGTCGACCGTTCTTAGCTTGTAAGGACTTTTTTTTTGTGAAAAGCTTGTAAGAACTCTAAATGAGGGAAGTAAAACCCTTTTAGTAGGCGCTCCCACAAAGCATTCGGGTTCAAGAGGAGTCTCCAAACTTGCTTAGCTAGAAGATCTCAATTGAACTCATTGAACGATTTAAATCCAATTCCTCCTTCCTCTTTTGGAGCGCACAAGAATTTTGCGTCGCACCAGTGGAAAGATTTCTTCTGCAAGGAGCCTGACCAGAAGAATTTCCGAAGAAGGGAGTAATTTTTTTTGCTATGGAACCCGACATGAGAAAAGAGAAGGCTCTTTGTTTCAGAATTGCCTGGATCATTGCTTTCAGAAGAGTCTATTTTCCTCCCTGGGACAGTAAAAGGCTCTTCTAGGCTTCATCTTTTCTCTCCACCCTAGTGATCAGAAAAGAGAAGGTTTTTTTAATGTGCCCCATTTTGTTGGCACCCCAAGGTAGTTAGCATGGCAGGTGGAGGAGTCGAAACCAAGGGTCTGAGTGAATTGAACTTTGGTCTCATTATTGACATTGCAACTAAGGAAGATGGACGACTTAAGTTGTTCACTTCTTGGCCGGTGATATTATTGTAAGCAGAGATGATATTCATAATGTTGGTAGCTTCCTCTTCATAAGCTTGGCCAAAGATGACAATGTCAAGCAAAAAGGCAGTGGATGAGAACATGACAGTTACAATTCAGCTTAATCCCTCTAATAGAATTCGATATTGTTGCTTTATCTTTAAGAAAAGTAAGAGAATTAAATAGAAGGATGAAAATAAGGGGTGAGAGAGGGCCCCCTGGCGAATTATTCTTATTCATTGAAAAGAATCAATTGAAAAGAATCAAAAGCTGGATTATTCTTATTCATTCATTGATCAAGACACACCATTTGGGATCAAAACCATAGAGTTGAAGGATCTTATCCAAGTAGTTCCAATAAACTAGATCATAAGCATTTCTCGTATCGAGTTTGAGCAACATGTCCTGTCGGTTCCCTATTATACTTTTTGAAGTGGTTCAAGACTTCATGAACAATGATGAAATTGTCTTCAATTTGCCTCCCCTCCTCGTGAAGGGCGTCTTGAACTTGGAAACTAGATCGAGCAGCCATTTTTTAAGCTTGGTAGTCATAATTTTGGTTATGAACTTATACCAAAAGTTGCAGCAACTGGTGGGGCAAAATTGCCTTATGTGCTCCAGAGCATCAACTTTGGGGAGTAACGAGATATGAGTATCATTCCACCCCTTCGTGAAACGATTGGAATCAAAGAAGCCACGAACTTCCTCACAAAATCGTTTTCCAACTAACGGCCAGAAATTCGTGAAGAAAAAGCCAAGGAACTCATCCGGTCCCGGAGCCTTAGAATGGCCAAGTTGAATGATCAATGTTGTTGATGCATATATTTCCTCCCAGTAGGTTATCAACCAACTGGATGTTCTTTAATTTGGACGATAGTGGGAAATGCCACTAATCGATTTGAAGTTTTGATGTGGAGTTGGTTCTGTAGCCACTGAAATGAGGAGGCAAAGAGAAAATAAGGGAGACTAAAATATTCTACCCAAGTTGTAGCAGGATAGTGACTAGTGAGCAGTGTGATAGACCTTAAAAAGTTACGCGGAATAAAAAAAAAGTTTGTGACGTTTGGTTACGGAGCACAAATTTATAACTGTTCAAAGTTTGGCGAAATCAAAAAATTGCTCGCTCGGGGTAGCAAACGATGTTTTTTTTTGGACGAAGGTGAAACCAAACCGCCTTTGGCCATTGCTGCTTGCAAGATCTCAAAAAATTATGCGGAATCAAACAAAATTTCGCTACGATCGGATAACCAAGTGTAAAGTTACGTTTGTTTGAAGTTTCACCTAGGTTAGCAAAGCAGGTTCAAGGCGAAAACTCCAAAAATACTGATTAACTAAAAGACGACATCATAAGGCAGCAATCGATGGAAGGGGATTTGCAATCGATAAGAGAATTAGAGTGATGGAAAGGAAAATACAAAAGAGGTGCGGCCAAGAAGCATTGCTACTATAAGTATTTTTTATAATATAAAATACCACCATTCATAAAATAAAAATACATACAACAGGTTCGAATGTTGAGGCCAACAACAAAAAATTAAATTATTAATATAAAAGACATCTAAAAATATCCATTTTAATAGTTTTTTAAATTTTATTATTCATATTTATATTATAAATTATTTCATTCATTTTACATGACCAATGATATTAAAACGTACTTTTAATAGTTTGTCAACCATACACTCTACTGTCTATTTTAAATACTTCTCTAAAATTCTTACTAGAAGCTACTTTTATAAGAGTTACAACCATCCTCCCCTATTTTCGCTTAAGTCCCACACGCTAACAATTTGATTTGAATTTAGTTGAATCTAAGAATTATGAGAAAATTACTTAAATAAGGTTTGGTAGGCGTAGAGATTGCAAATTTGAACCGCCTTAATGGGTATTACCCAATCTGACCCACGATGGAGCCGGTATTATCCGCCCACAGTAGCGTGGGGCAGGGGATGAGTATCTACATCCAATTTGTCCTACCCTGTCCCGCTCTTGACTCATTCTAACCACGAGAAAATTCTAATCACATCAACATACAAGAATACCATATAATCCAATCCAACTTTAAACCACTAACCATGCATTAGAGTCTAAAAACATCGAGGGTGGAAATTTTGAAATGATTCTTTATAGGAAGAATTATGTAGATCAAAATTGTACGGTTAGAATTTTGTACTAGGAGAATCTTAACTGCTTTTTTCATAATTTTTACTTGATTTTTAATGAAAATTAAATAATTATAATATTTTACTTTTAAATTAAATACCTAATGGGTTGACCTGTCTGACTCGTGCCTCATGATAAATTTCACTATGAATTCAAACAGCCATGGACCAAATATAGGTATCGAGATACTCGCCTCGGACCTGCCTCATTGCCATTCCTACATCCAACGGCCGTGGTGAATTTTGGCTACTGCCAAAATGTGTCTCGTTTGGCACAACATCCGCACTCATGTTGACGAGAATAGATCTGATGCAAAACTTACATATGCATAACATTGCATGACCAACACATACCATATATGGAAGATAATTAACTGTTTCCACAATTTAGTTTAATGAGTTATATCTCTTTTATTTTAAGTTATAAATGAAAATTTTCACAGAAAAATTAGATTAATTGTGTTTTTTAAAATGACATCCACTTTCATATATGTATAAACAAAAAGGTGAAACATTTATGATCAGTCCATACCATATGGTAATGCGTGGTAGTAAATAAGATCATACCACGTGATATGAAAGTGTACTATGATGGTATCAATATACCGGAGTGTAGAATAGTTGTATACATGATAGTATGAATATATGAATGACCATTTACCATTTTTCATCACCATCTACTACCAGTTACCAGCATATACCAAGATTATATAGAGTGGTATATGTGATCATTAAATCCCCTTGTGAAATTTGTAAATCCAATAAACCACGAATGAACGTGTTTCTTGCAGGCAAGTATTTTCAAAATTCGAGTTAAAAACAAAGGTGGTATCGGTACGAGGCAGGTAACGAGTGGTATGGGTGATTCGAAAAAATATTCTCAAAATATTTTAAAAATGGATATAATTTTGTAGATTGCAACAAACTGGTTCCATATGTGAAAAAAAAATTAAAATCCAAATTTAAATAATGAATATCAAAATAAATTTAAAAAATAGGATTTTTTTTTTAATTTCTCTCTTTAGACCTAGTCCTAGGGGTGAGTAGTGAGTGGTTTTATACGGATTTGGGTGGGTTTGGAACCACCCACTATGTGGTGGGTGAAGGAGAAAATGACTCACACCCACCCAAGCATTACATGTGGGTGGATTGGGTGATTGTGGATGATGGGTTGTTGGGTGGATTTGGTGGATCTACAACATATATTTCATATGATCACATAATTCAATAGTTTTAAACAAATTTCAAACTAAATAATGATTAATCCATTAATAAGTTGAATCGTTTATTTTACAATATTGGTTGTCCATAAATTATAAAATATTCAACTGATAAACATGTTCTAAGCGTGATAATAACAAAGGTTCAAGAAGACACTAGGCATAAGGCAAATGTTTAGGTCTTGCCTAGCGCCTCATTTGCCTAGGTGTTGTGAGCATAAATAGATTTTTAAACTCAAACAATTCCAAAATGATGGAAGGAATGAAAGGACAAATCGGTGGTAGTTTGAGATGGTATCATTTTGGGGAAGACAACTGACTTTTCCTGTCATTTGTCTATTAGTTATGTTTACGTGTACCTCCAATTGCCTAATCACACCTCACAACACAAATCCTTTGACGAAATTGAGAGAAATTTTTGTGATTTTAATGATTTCATTTTTGGTAAAACTATATGTTAGAGTTGCGATGGTTTAAAGTTAAAAAGTAGTGTCGGTCGTGGGTCAACCACAATCCACCTGAATCTACCCAATTTTTTGTGGGTCATCAGTTTTACAATTCACACCCAACCATAAGAACCACCCACCTTATAATGGGTGGGTCGATTGCAGGTTGGGTGGGTCGATTGCAGGTGGATTTGTGGGTTTAACCAGCTCACCCCTACCTAGTCCCACCTAAAATCAAGGGTTCTGGTTATCCAAAGCCAGAGTTATCCACCCCCTATGTTAACACTTAACAGAAGCGTCTATTACCAATTCAGCATCTTGGGCCCAATTGCATTTTATTAAGGTTAAACAAACAAAGCCAACAAAAAGACCTCCCTCAGACTACTACCTCCCGCCGGCCACGACATCTAGTCCCCAATCTCGGCTTCATCAATCGTTCGCTTCCCAGCTATCGTGGGGGAAAGGTTGATAGGAGAATCTCTTTGCGGGCGATTGAAGGAAAAAGGGTTCATGAATGTGAAATACAGTCTTCTAGGGAGAAGGTTCTCCCTCGGATTCATTCTCCAGAGTAGCAATCGGGGCCTTTGGCGGCTGTTCAGTTCAACGAATGAGAGTCTCTCCACCGTTACTGAGCTCATATCAAAGCAACATTGGTCAAGTTTGAAACTTTATCTCCGAGACTCGGATCCCAATGCGGTCCTTCGTGATTTACTCGATTCTGGAGCTAAACCTGAGCTAATTCTCAGCTACTTCACTTGGTCGAGGAAAGAGCTAAAGCTGGCACACTCCTTGGAAGTCACTTTCAGGCTCTTGCATTCACTTGCTTATGCACAGAACTATCCGAAGATCAGGTCTTTTCTGCACAACTTTGTTAAGAAGGAGAAATGTTCTGTTTCTTCTATTCTTCATTCGGTTTCAATTTGCAGCGGTTCGTTTCAGGTCAATTCTGTGATAGTCGATATGTTGGTATTGGCATATGTGCAAAACTTGAAAAGCCGATTGGGATTTGAAGCTTTTAAGAGAGCTGGTGATTATGGGTTTACATTATCGGTTGTATCTTGTAACCCCTTGTTGAATGCTCTGGTCAAGGATGGTGAAGTTAACCGTGTAGAGTTTGTGTACAAGGAAATGGTTACGAGAAGGATTAAGCTGAACCTGGTTAGCTATAATACTGTGATTAACGGTTTCTGTAAAGTAGGGAAGTTAAACAAGGCTCGTGATGTCATTGAGGACATGAAAGCTGTGGGTGTTTCCCCGAACGTGGTTACTTACAATACTCTCATTGATGGATATTGTAAGATGGGAAGAATTGGGAAAATGTATAAAGCAGATGCCATCTTGAAAGAGATGATAGCAAATGGGATTCCCTCAAACGAGGTTACGTACAATATTCTAATTAATGGGTTTTGTAAGGATGATAATGTGTCAGCTGGCGTGCAGGTGTTTGCTGAAATGGTAAGGCAAGGCTTGAAACCAAATGCGATTACCTACGGTGCCTTGATCAATGGTTTATGTGGTGGTGGGAAAGTGGGCGAGGCTCTTGGTTTATGGGAGCAAATGGTTGGTTCAGGTGTAAAGCCAACTATTGTTACTCATAATGTACTAATAAAGGGTCTTTGCAAGAACAAGATGCTGAAAGAAGCAAATGAATTGTTTGATCACATAGAAAAACAAGGAATAGCTCCTAACGTGACTACTTATAACACGATGATCGATGCTTATTGCAAGGGTGGGGAGATGGAGCAGGCATTTTTCTTTCGTGACTCCATGGTGAAGAAGATGGTTTCCCCTACTGTTTCAACTTACAATTGCTTGATTTCTGGTTTGTGTAGAGAAGGGAAAACAGTGGAAGTGAAAAGTGTTTTGGCAGAAATGAATCATAGAAACTTGAGGCCTGATGTTGTTACATATAACATACAAATAGATTCATTCTGCAAGAAAGGAGAGTCAAGAAAGGCAGGACATCTCTTGGATGAGATGGTCAGGAAAGGAGTGAGTTCAAGCCATGTGACATTTAACACATTGATGGATGGCTACTGTCGTGAGGGAAATCTACGAGCAGCACTGAAGGTGAGAGAACGTATGGAGGAGGAAGGGAAGAAGGCAAATATTGCCACCTACAATGTCCTTATAAAGGGGTTTTCCAGGAAGGGTAAGCTGGAATATGCCAATGAACTTCTTAATGAGATGTTGGAGAAGGGGTTGGTGCCAAATTACGTAACCTATGAGATTGTTAAGGAAGAAATGGTGGATAAAGGCTTTGTTCCCAGCATTGAAGGACATCTATTTAATGTCCCATGAAACTCTTTTAAGTTTTCTCAAAGAGAATGAAGTCTGTTTACCAGAGTCATTATGTAGAGCTCTTCAACACACCCAGTCGGAGAGCTCTGCTTCAGGTTAGCACTATGGCATGTCATTCAAGGGATTGAGTTCTTCTGAGTTCGGCTGAAGATGGGTGTGGTATGCAGTCTTGGTACTTGACAAGCACAAGTGTGAAAATTCTACCGGCTGATTCTGAGCATTCGGCAGCGTCTCGGGTATGATTCATAATTGTTTCTATTCAGATCCAATTTCATTTGGCATCTGATTCTCCCCCTGTGCGTTGTCAAAGGCTTTAGTTGTGAATCTTAGTTTTTGCATTTGCATGTATGTGGATAATTGTGTCCTTTCGGAAACGGTTTGCTTATCAGCTGTGGACACCGACAAGAATTATTGATTCTTCAGAAACCTCTCGTAATTTGTTTTAGTTACTCTTTTCATGGTAGTATATGTTCCTCAACTGGCGGGCTTAATAGGTACTGAGGAATTTGTGCATACATGAAATTACTGCTCTTTGTTATCGGCTTTTCCAATGCTGAGTTCGGAATGAAATGACTGCTCGACGGTCTCATTTTGGATTTGATAATCACTTGCTTCTCCATTGGCAGGGATCCGCGCTTTGAGAAACTGAAGGACGTTATATTTGCTGATTCCTTGAAGCACCCCAACTGCAATATGGGGAAGAATCTCAGTCTGCTACTCTCCTACGGAATCTACCCGATGAGGGACGTAGGTACACGCCAGGTCTTGACCAGATCAGAAACCGAATCGCCAATCAATGGCAAGTGCGAATTAAGCATGTTTATGACTAACAAAATGATGTTGCTGACTAGTTGGTCAACTTGAACCATTCTATCACGTTTGGATCATGGATTATGAATTATTTCGATCCAACTCTGTGTAATTGGATTAGTTGTATATAAGGGGGCTAAAAAGCTTTGAATAAACGAGTTTTTTTTTAATATCATAGTCAGGCAGTAGATAGACAGGGAATTATAAGTTATTGAGAATCCAAACGCGATAGTCAACCAAATGTTGAATTATCGGTGAAAGGGTAGTTTTTGTCATTAAATGGGCAACTCTGTTATAACGAGGAGCGAAAACAAAACGAACATACTCGAATGAGCTTCGCAGTAATTTGATTTTTTGTAGGACCTCCCCGCCCAAGTCATGATCTATTGCGCCATCCAAAACTCGACGGATCACCAATTGAGCGTCACCACAAAAGCAAACGTTACAGAATCCATGCTGCAAACACCAAGACATAGCATCACGAAGAGCAAGGAGCTCCATTAAAAAAAAAAGGTTGCCTTACCCGTGTTGAACTTACCAAAGCACAAACTAGAGAATAATTTTCAGTCCTGCTTACAAAAGCACCAGCACCTCCCACGTCACGTTTGAGCGCTCCATCAAACTTTACTAAAATTCCTCCACAAGGACATGAAGCATCGCTGTGTTGTGGCGCATGCCTTGTTGAAGGTTGATTGCCTCTTGTGTCTCCCGTCGCCACTCTCCATTCATCTACATGTGTCCTATATTGGCGAAACAGTACATGGGAAGGTATTGGATGTTGTCATAGGTTGCCCAACATCTTTCCTTCCATATCCTCCAAGCTAGAAAGATCATATCTACAACTTCCATCTTTGAGAGCTGCAAGGAAAAGAAAATAGCATTCCAAGCATGGTAGACTCGACAGTGAAATGGCCAATTGCTAGCTGGACCTCCTCTCTTCCAGCCAATTAATCTCTACATCTCCTTTGCCATCCTGCACGTGACAAGGGAATGGGATGCTGACTCCTCTCTATTAGAACAAACTGAGCATTCACTGTTACTACACAGGGTCTTCTCCTGCAAAAGTAACTGAAATGGAAGGAAATCGCGAACAACTCGCCAAAGGAAGAACTTCAACTTAGGAGGGGTATGGAGATTCCAAAGGTATTTCCAGAATTTGCCATTAAGGTGAGGAGGCAGAGAAGGGAACTGTTCATTCAATTTAGAGGTTAGAAGATGGTACCCGGACTTAACCGTATACTCCTCTGTTTTAGAATAGTACCATATAAATTTGTCTAGTTGAGGGGTAGATGGTAAAGGAATGGACAAAATAGATTTGATGGAATCACGAGTGAAAAGAGGAACCATAATCTCCACATTCCAGGTCTGAGCAGGCGGATGGATAAGACTAGCGACAAAAGGATTAGTAAGGGATACACTAGGGAGAATAGACGGGAATATGGTGGGGATGTGGGCAGCCAAGCATCACCAATGATCCGAACCGCCAATCCACAACCAATTTCCCAACGAAGCCCCTTTCGGAGAAGGTTACGCCCCTCTAGGACTCTTTGCCATGCCCAGGACGGTCGATAACCGAAAATTGCAGCAAGGAATGAGCAGTTCGGGTCATACCGCGCACGGCAAATCTAGGCAAGAGTTGAGTCTGGCTTCCTGAGCACTTTCCAAGCCTGCTTAGCCAACATCGCCACATTGGATCGATCGAAATCACGAAAGCCGAGCCCTCAATGGAATTTGCTTTGACAAGTCTCTTGCCACGAGAGCCAGAGAATACCCTTCTCCTTGTTGACTCGCTATGACATAACTCCTAACAAAGGCCAAGTGTAACCAATGAAAGGGACTGCAGTATAGTGGCTCAAGTAATAAATATCGAATCCACGGGTCTTTAGAGTTACTATTACTCAGCTTCAGTTCATTATCTAGCAAACCATATTAAGATAGAACAACTAAAACTACTCTAGCAAACTACAGTTAAAGTTAATCTAATTACAGGTTGGGAACTCACTTAGGTATGATTCCCCCTAGCCACTAGCCAGATTAATGATTGATGATCTCTAACCTGTTTCACTTTCATTCACAATGCGGAGAATCCTTAACTAGACCTTGAGTCTCGACTAAAGGAACAAGGCCCTCTTGAGTCAATTGCCTAGAGGGACGTATCCTTCTCACAACAACCGATCAAGGCGTTATGAACTAGATTCCCTCTATCGAATGAGGTTCTCAATCGATACAAACCATTGAATCAACCCTCGACTAAAGCAATCGATCCAATACTATCAATTTATGGTGCTCTATTGACCTAATCAGGTATTCTCTCTCATAGGATCAAAGCAGAATCAATAATCTCGACTAAAGCAGAATTAAATCATGAAAACATGCATAGATTGAATATGAACTAAAGATTATCAAGTAAGAGTACCCATACAATCATCCAATAAAACAAACATAGCTAGGGTTCCTCAAAACCTAAGTGAAGGGAAATTACTTCATAGAGAAGAGAGAGACTGCAGTAAGAATCTTCAGATGATCAGTCTTCAAGTCCGGGCTTGTTCCTCGAGCTTCCAAGACGAAGAAATCCTCCAATTCCACTCCAAGAATGCCCTCAAATCTCCCTCTCTCTCTTTGGTTCGTCCCTTGGGTGTTTGGGATCCAAAACCCAGCTCTCCCCTCTCAAAAATCGCAGAAAATAGACTTATACCCAAGCAGGGGGTAGAAACACGGTCGGGAACACGGCCGTGTTTAGTCCTGCCCGTGTTTTAAATCCCTTCAGCAATCTTCACAAGATAGTCTTGGCATAAAAACACTGGCAGGTGCCAGATGAAACACGGCCGTGTTTTGAGGGTAGTCTGCCCGTGTTTCTTTCGCCGAACCTGTTCCCCTATATTCAATGCTTCTTTTCTCCCTTGTCTGGACTCCGAATCAGTTGTCGTTTGATTCTAGACGCTCGTAGTCTCGTCCACCTTCTTTTCCTGATAAGCTTGCATGATTATTTGTCCATAAATTAGGTATAAATACATTATTCTTCAGGTCATGCCCGAGTTTCTTCTCCCGAATCGCCAATTGATCTCCGATTGACTTGAAACTTGCGCCTATGTCTCCCTTTACTCATTAGGACCTAAAATGTGACAAAGGAACAAAACCTAGCGTAAAATAGATCAAAGAAGCGATAATTCAAGCTTAAACGACCAAGAAAAAAATGGGAAAACCAGTGGGCCTCGGTCCATTGACCCAAGTCCATCCTCTGGACTCCCACTCGGACCTCCGCTCTCCATCGAAACCACCAAATCCATACCCATCACCGCCATTAGATTAACTTCGACCCTGTTGAACAATTCGACTTCCATATTGACTAGGGGACTGTTCAAGGTGACATTCAATAGGCCGCTCATCAAACAACAGAGGCAGCAACTAAAAAACGATGGTGAGTAGGTACGAGAACAAAAAATCCGTCATCGCTCACAGTGTGCAGTGGGGGCAGTCGCCGACTGATGCGACCTAGGCGAGATTAGGGCTTTGGGAGTTCAATAAGGCATGCTGCAAAATGCCTCATAGAAATCCGACCTTGACGAATCCAATCACCTCTTCTCCTCTCCAATTCCGAGCAGTGGCAGATTCTACACATGCTCCTCTCTCGATCAGTGATCCCGAGTTTTCAGCTTCATTTGAAGAGTACAATTAATCTCATTTATCCGTGCAAAAAAATTTCAATTACGAATTACAAAAAAAGAGATGTAGCTCGTTAAATAAAATTGACGAAAACGTTAATTGTATTCCATAAATAATTAGCGAGGGTTATGCATGATTATGCATAGGATTTGTACCTCGTGTAATGAAAGATGATGAATGAGCATTACTTGATTTTTACGATGGGAAAGACCATGACAATACCGAACTACTCCTTGTAGCCATTACACACATTTTCCCCTCTCTTTTTTGCCCATATAAGCCATAAACCCTTACTATTCTAGATTACTCGGCAATCTCTCTCTTATCTCCAAAGTCAACCATTTGCTTCTTTACTGGTTCTTTTTCCTGACACGAGTTATCTTCGAAGGGTAATAAGCTTCTCAGAATTGCATGATAAATTCAAAAGCTTCAATCTGTAGAGATTCAAAAATCATATTCGGAAAACTATTCCCATCCATATTCCCATCCCTTCTGGTCCTTCCTCTTCATTCTTCCTCTGTCTCATT